TTTGTGCACAACCCTGATGAGAGCAACTCGTGTAAGGCAGAAGGCAGGGAGAGAGGAGAGAAGGGAGAGGAGAAAGGGGAGAGGAAAGAGGGGAGAGAGGAGAGCAGGCACAGGCAGTGCTGAGGGACACACACCTTGCTGGGAAAGCAGCCGGGGTTATCCAGGGGTGCTGAAGCAGGAGGCTGGAGCAGGGGGCCTCCCTGTGGAGAGAGGCACAAGGCAGCAAGCAGAACCTCCTGGAAGGTCCTGCCCACCTCACTTCAAGCCACAAAATAACCTCCCTGTGCCAGCATCACTGCTCAACCCCCGTGGTGCTTCTCCAACAGCGTCAGCAGAGGGTGGGGAGAGGGGTCTGGGGTGCTGAACTACAGAATCAACTTTTGTGCATCTGAGAGCAAACACCTCCCGGGGAGCAGACGGCAGCCTGGCTGCCAGGATCCCCCAGCTCCCGGGACTGCAGGCAGAGGGAACGAGTCCAGCAGCTGCTCGGGGACTGTGGCCACAAGTCCTGGGTGGTTTGCAGGACTTGAGTCACCAGGAAGGGAAAGGCTGCCCGGCAGAGCCCGGCTGCTCACACCACGCAAACTGCCCACCAAAAGGCAAGTGCCAAGGTCTTAGTGCCACAGCAGCGGGGCAGGACGGTCCCTTTTCCTCTGGGAAGCTGGTTGAGAACACATCAGCTGAGCTGTGGCTGTCGGACAGGCAGGGAGGGAGAGGAGGAACACCAGAGGTGCGAGGAGTCCCCGTGTCCAGGTGCGCTGCTGGAGCCACCCTCGCACCGCGCAGGGGCTGGGAGGAGGAGGAGGAAGGCCGGGAGGAAGGGGAGGAGCACCAGGCGGGCTGGCTGCAGTTCGAGCTGCTCGGACCCCTTCACAACTTCTGGATCTTCTCGGCGATAACGATGGGGTTTTCCTTGCGGATCTTCTCGGCAGCTTCTGCCTTGTAGTCGTAGGGGCAGGCGTGCATGTCGGAGTACCGGTGAATGGCACAGAACAGGTTCCCGCAGCGGCAGTCGAAGCCTGAGGGGAGGAAGAGCACGGACAAAGCCACATCAGACCCCATCCAGCGGAGCAGGAAGGCGGCAGGGCCTGGCTCCGGGCAAGGGAGGGGGCCTGCTGCTCCCCACAGGCCAAAGGGATTCTTCATTTGGGGAAGACCATGGGTGGCTCTTTGCTCTCCTCTGGCTCAGGAGCTCTGTGTGCTTTGGGCAGCCCCAGCTGTCATGCGGGAAATGCTCCCAGAGCAGCTGCTGTCCGTGCTCCCCGGGGACAAGGGATCTGCCAGGCACTGCAGAGTGCCAGATTGCTAATCCACACCAGGCTCCCCAGGCAGCCCGAGCTGCAGCTCAGCCCTGTGAGCCAGTCCAGCTCCCCAGGGTCACACAGCAGCAGCTGGACTGACCAGCAGCAAGCAGCAGAGCTGTCACCACCTTAGGATCATGTTTGAGCTGTTTAGGCTTCAAAACTCCCACTTTAGTTACTCCACTCTGAGACAATGCTCAGAGTGCTACCATTAACACAGCACACTGGGAAAGCAAGGCAGGGAGTGAGCAGGGGGTGTGCTGCAGGACAGCAGGGAATCATGCTCTGTCCCTTCACTTTTTTCTAACTACAGGCTGTAAAGTCCACAAACACCTTGCTCCAAGGTGCCAGTTTACTCCTGGTTGAGAAAACTCATTTTATCCTAATTGCCCTGAATTCACAGGAGTTCTCTGTAAGTTGAATCCTAAAGAAGAGAACTTCTCATAGTTTAAAGCTTGTAAGGAAACCCTCATTCAGGAAAACAATCCTCTCTGCACCCAGATCCACATTTATAAACCCACCCCCTATTCTAGGACAGTGTCCATGGATTTCCAGGCAAGCTCAGGTTCAAACTTTCCAGTCTAGACTTTGCCAAAGCCTCTTATAGCCATGAAAACAGCCAGTCCCTGGCTGCTGGATGCCCCAAGCAGGCTACAAAACCAAGTGCTCTGCCAGAACAGCATGACCTGCACAGCTCCAGAGTTAACTTTTTTCCAGAGAAGTACTAAATGCCAGAGATAATGTTTTTATTAGCAAACCACAGCCAAATTAATTGCTTCACTTTCCAGAAGCTGTTTTGCCATTGATAGCAGTGCCCTGACAGCACTTCTCTCTTCAGCTTTACAGGCTGCACGCTGAGAGCCATCCTGCTCTCAGGAAGCTAACAGTGGAAATCAGGCAGCATTAACAAAGGGGATGAGTCTTGGAGAGGGATTTTCCATTTGGGTCTACCTCAGTTCATGTCACTGTTACAAAAGCTCTACCACAGACCTGAGCGGGAGTGGATTCTGATCCACAGTGAGCTCTGCCTTCCTCTGCAGCAGCTTCTGCCAAGAAGCAGGAACAACCAAGAGGTGCTGCCACATCCAATCCTGCTCCCAAGGGCTGCCAGGACCCTGGCAGTGAGTGGGATGTTCCCCAGGCTGCTGCCTCAACCAGCACTGTTGCAGGTTGGAGTTCTCCTCCTCCTCTCCTGCAGCACCACAGCTCCAGGATGGATTTGGGGAAACCTCCAGCCTCTGACCCTCCAAACGCAGCAGCACCACAGCACTGTGCTCACAGGGCTCTCCCCTGGGACTGCTTAGGGCATGGGGAAGTTTTCCCAGAGCCAGGCACTTACCAGTCAGTCCAATCTTCTTCCGGCAGGTGAAGCAGCGATTCTTCTTCGGTTTCGGTTTTTCCGAAGCCGTCTTGCCCTCAGCCGTGTTCTGGGATATCTCAAGCAGGGTACCTGAAACAGAGGCAAGAGTTTTGCTGCTATTCTTGATAAACATACCCCAGACTGTGAGATTTGCCTTGTTCCACCGAGATCTCCACCTCACAGCTTTCTCTCTGTTTCAAATGCCTTAAATCCAAAGCTGAAGTGGTCATGGACAGTGACTGGATAGTCACTACAGCTCAGCTGCTGTACAGCAATACAGCTGCCAGCTGAGCCCACAGTTAATCTTCACAGGGAGAAAAAGTTAACCCCTTGTAAGTACTACTAATTTTTTTTGCTGACTCTTATGTAAGTGTTCCCCAAATGTAGGTCTTAGAATGCTTTACACAGATATCCATCACTGCCTCTAATCTACCAAAGGGAAAACTGAGCTCTCAAAGCCAGATTGTTAAAGGTCACTGATGCTTAGCAGGATTTCCTCCAGTACCTAAGCAGGTTAGAGAAGTCAACAGGAGGGAGGAGCTCCAACTGCTCCTTGGAGCACCTGCAGTGCAGGCTGCTCTGAGGAGACAAAACAGAGACAGCTTTGTGAAGCTGACCCCAAACAACCTCCTAAAAATTACACAGGCAGATGAAAGGGGAAGGCTCTCCCAAGCCTCTTTTAACAGTCTCTCACCTGCCTGTTGTAAATTGTCTCCTGGGCTTGCAGGCAAGAGATTACCTAACCCAAAATGCCCAGCCATGTGTGGTGACTAAAGCCCTGGCTCATTAACAACCAACAGCTCCTGGATTTTTTTAGCTTTCAATGCAAGTAAGTTGTCAGCTGAGCAAAGGAGGGTGTCTGCATGCAGATCACCTGCTTATGGCATCAGCTGGAGGATGTGCCACACCAGGCATTGACTCTGCTGCCCCTCAATCACATCAGGGCACTGGCTGTGTAACACCCCCGAGGGACAGGTTCCCCCTTCACACAGGGTGACAACAACAGGCCTCCACTACCCCCAGGCACTGTCACAACTCTCTCCAAGCCTGGGATGGATCCATCTCCCTTCCTCCCCCTCGGGAGCTGGCAGGGGAGTGCCGCCAGCAGCCGTCGCGTCAGGCTGTGGGACGCTCCGGGCTCGCTGCCATTCGCTGGGAGAGGCGTCATGGAAGATTATCCTCCTGCCAGCCACTCCAGGGCTGGCAGCCACTCAGCCCTCAGCCCACAGAGCAATCTCTATCAGCCTGCCCTCGAGCACAGCATTTGCTCTCCTCCCTGTCACCAAAACAAGTTTCCTCCTCAGCTCTCAGGTGTGCCTTTACTGCCAGGAGGGGACACACCCAGGGTCAGCAGCTGTCCTGAGCTCAGTGTCACTCAGCCTGTGCAAAGGACAAACAAAGCACCCTACCTGATGAGGAAGAAGCTGATGAGGCTTCATCTGTCTTGCTGAATTCCTCTGTTTCATTGCTGGTTTCCTCTCTGGATATGCTCATGGCCGTCATCTGATGGGTCACAGGAGTCTGAGCGCTGGGAGCATTTGCAGCAGACAAACAAAAAGAGAAAACACAACTAATTTCATTTGATGGACAGTTATGTGGGAGAGACCTTCAGCCCGTAAAGTTTATTTCCTTATATTCAAAAGTAGGTCAGGAGCACAGCAGGTCAATTCCCCTTGAGATCGGGGATCAAAGTTCTTTACAGACATAAATGGAATGAATCTGTGATGATCTCAGTTTCCTTTTGCACCCAATTATATCTCAAAGCAAGGCAAGAGCCTATCCAAACAAGTCCAGGGGCAGGGAAACACAGTTATGAGTCAGGGCTGTAATGTGATGGTAGAGCTCAGTGCAGCTCTGTCCTCCTTCCCACCAAACAGGCCCAAGGTCTCTAATCCTGCTGTTACAGCTTTCAGACTGGGTCATCAGCAGGTGCTTTCACTTAGAATCACACAACATTCTGAGCTTATGATCCTCGTGATCCTTCCAAGTCCAACTCTTGGCCCTGCACAGGAAAACCCCAAAAATCCCACTGCTTGGGACTGAGCAGAAATTGAACAGTTGAACAGAGCCAGGGACAGACAAGGTGCACTGGCTGCAGGAGAACCAAGATGCCATTTAATTTACTACCAACTCCCTGATACCTCACTCTACACATCAGCAACAGCAGACTGAGGGACATGTCAATCTTCCAAATAAACCAGAGACACAATGCGAAGTTGATGCAGCCTGTTCGCAGACATATAAAGGATGACAGCCTGTCCCTTGTGTCCCAGAGCTGGATTTTAGCAGGGTTTAGATCCCCTCCCCTCCAGACTCTGCCCCTACCTGGCTTTTGCATCCTCAGGTGTGGAGTCTCCCTCCGCGCACTGTCCTGCGATGGCCTCGGAAGCCATGGGGCTGCTGCTGGGACCGCTGGGTGCTACGAGACAAGAGCAGGCTTGGTCAAGTCTCTGGAAATATCAGCAGGTTCCTCAGGTGCTTCACAGTGAAGGAGAAAGCAGAATGAGCACTTCCAGCAGGTTTTACACTCCTGCTGGGATCACTCCCACATCCCTGCTCCTACACTCTGCTCTCCAGATTTGTGCATCAGACTTGTGGGACACCAGGGCTGTCTGGATCTTGAATCCAATGGCACTGTGTAAACTTCTCCAAGGTGTAAGAACCAGATCCTCATCTGCTGAAAGGAACAGGCTTCAACAGACACATATGGGTTTGTGTCAGCTGAGGATCTAAGATGGGGTCTTAGGAAAAGCCTTTGTCATGTTCCTGAGCATATTTTGTGTGGGTTACTCACTGCAAGCCATGATGAATTCCATGACCCTCAGGAATAAACTGTGGAAGAACTCTCAGAGGCATTTCTTACTCTGTACATGTGGCATCTGCACAACCCCCAGCAAAAGAAATCCCCTCTCACGTTGCAGAGAGCATCCTTCCCCTGCTCCCACCCCAAGTGCAGGAAACAAACCTTGTAAGTCATGGCTTTTAGATATCACACTGTTAAGATAAGAATATTATAAAAATAGGCCAAATAAAATTTCATTGTGGGGCTTTGTCATGGTTCCCAGCAGTCAGCATCTAATCAGGGAGCAGGAAATAGCTGAAAGCTGGGATCACCATTAGCACATGTGAAATTCTACAGTTTACTGGAAGGTGCTGGCTGGGATGGGGCTTCACAAACTGGTGAGACTGGGAAGAAAGCAAGTGCCCCTCCTAACAGGGAACAGAAATGCTTGAGGGCTTGGATCCTTGATTTAGAGCCTTGGGTATCCATGGAAAGGGAAAGATGACTTTTCTAGGAGGGGGTAAATCTGCTGGTGGCCAGGTACCAGCACCATGCTGAACACAGTTTGTATCCAGACACCCATTCAAGACAGATTTCCTGGAAAAAATCCTCTACCTGGAGGGCTTATCCGGTCACTGCTCTGCTGCCTCTGCAAGAACTCCTTGTAGCACACGGAGCACATGCCGTTGGTCCGGGGGCTGCCATAGAACCCGCAGCCCGTGGTACACAGCAGAGGCACCTGTGTCTGGTTCGTCTCCTGAGCCATCCTCGCCCCTCCGAGGCACCGAGCTGCAGGCAGGAATCAGAAATAAAGCCGGGACAGCTGTGAGGGCCAAGCACTCGGGCATTGTGTGCTGCAGCTGATCAGGAAGGAGCACAAAGGATCCCAAGAGAGCTCGGTTCCTGCACGTGCACAACCTCGAGCACTGGGGGTTCCTAAAATCCATGTCCTGGGGCCCTAAGCCACCCAGAGCTGCTCAGAGCCAGACTGGAAAGCCAACAGGAACTGGCTCCCGGCTCTCCCTGCTGCACCACGAGGCTCCCTAAACTCCCGGTGACACACGAGCGCGTCAGACCCCAACAATCCGCTCTCCAGCGGTACCAAACGTGCCCCCACAGCACTACTGATGCCCCCTGTGAACACCCACACCTCACACGCCCAGTGCAGGCCCAGTCAGTCGCATTTTGGTTTTCATTTCGAGCCTGGTTTAGTTTTTTAATTCTCAGGAAGATGACGCAAGCGATGCAGAAGGAACCCACTGCCGCTCTGCTCTGACATAAAGGGTAAAGGGAACGTTCACATGGTTAGGCTGGAAATAAGGATAAGGTATTCTTTCCAGCAGTAAGATGCGATTCCAGAACACCTTCCCAGGGAAAACAGCTGACATGCTGAAACCTAATTTTAAATTTAATCTTAATAATTTCTCTCTGTATCACATGCAGTTACCTCCAACCCCAGGAACTGGCCCCTTCCAGCCACACATGGTGTAGCATTTACAGGGCCAAACCCACCACAGTGCTCCAAATGAGAACCATGAGGCCCAAACAAAAACCACACACAATTCCAATGAGTGTGGACAACGTGGCTGCAGTCAGTCCAAGTCTGACACAGAACAAGGGGAGAGGATGTGCCTAGGACCATGGTGGGCACGGGTGGCTCCAGCTCGGGCACAAAGCCACGGCGCTGGTACCAGGAGCTCCCAGCAGTGCTGCCTTTGTGGGGTGCACGAAGTACCCACGACCTCCCAGCCAGCCCTGCCGCTTCCCTTCCTGCTCCTACAAAACTTGCTTCACCGAGGGAATAAAGGAGACGAACACGAAATCGTTACCCTGTCAGGAGCGCTCCCGTGGGACGGAACCGGATCACCTCTGGTTTATCCTCAGCTGGGGAATGCGGTTTCGGCTCCGCACCCGGGGGTGCCCGGCGGAGCTCAGACCAGCGCTCCCATCGCCACCCCGGGACCCTCCGGGCCCGAACCGGCCTCTCCTCGGGCACTCGCAGCGGAGGATCCCTCGGCGGTCGCGGCTGGCCCCGCTGCCACACGGACAAACCTTGGGCAGCTGCTGTCGATGGAGTCCCTGCAGAAAGAGAAGCGGCCGCGGGCTCAGCCCTCCCCGAGCGCCGCCGTGCCCGAGGTGGCCGAGACCCCCGCCCGGCCGGGGAGAGACCCACCGCCCCGCCCGCGGCCGCCACCGCCGCCCCCCGGCCGGGCCCCGCGCCCCGCTGCCGGCCCGCGGCGCTACGCGAGGCCGAGGCTCCGCGGCCTGCACGGAGCGGCGGCCCCGGGCCGGGCCCCGCCGGCCGGGCCCCACTCACCGGCGGCCGAGCAGGGCGGGCGGCCCCGGGCCGGGCCGGGCCGGCCCCGGGAGGCTCAGGCGGGCGGCGGGCACGGAGCGCTGCCGGGAAACATGGCGGGCGCGGGCCCCGAGCGCCTCCCCCGGGGAGGGCCCGGGACGGGGGGGACGGGACGGGGGGAACGCGGGGCTGGGACGGGGCCGGGGCGGCGGTGGGAGCCGGGGAGGGGGCAGGGGGCTGTGACATTCCCTGGGGACACGGGCAGGGGGCTGTGATACCCCCGGGTAGGGGGCTGTGACATTCCTTGGGGACACGGGCAGGGGGCTGTGATACCCCCGGGTAGGGGGCTGTGACATTCCTTGGGGACACGGGCAGGGGGCTGTGACATTCCCTGGGGACACGGGCAGGGGGCTGTGACACCCTCGAGGAGGGTGTAGGGGGCTGTGACATTCCTTGGGGACACGGGCAGGGGCTGTGACATTCCTTGGGGACACAGGCAGGGGGCTGTGACATTCCCTGGGGAGGGGGCAGGGGGCTGTGACATTCCTTGGGACACGGGCAAGGATCTGTGACACCTTCGGGGAGGGGGCAGGGGGCTGTGACATTCCCTAGGGACACGGGCAGGGGGCTGTGACATTCCCTGGGGACACGGGCAGGGGGCTGTGACACCCCTGGGGAGGGGGCTGTGACATTCCCTGGGGACACGGGCAGGGGGCTGTGACACCCCCCGGGACACAGCGGGGTGTAGGGGAGGGGGCTGGGGTGTGGTGTGGGTGTGCTCCAGCAATAGCAGAGGGGCTGTGACCCCCTGGCTGTGAGAACAGGAGCGTAGGTGGGCTCTGGAAATAGCAGAGGGGGCTCTGAGCCCTCCCTGCCCCGCCGTGGGGACTTGCTTGGCTGTAGGGCCTGGGACACTGTGGGGACTTCAGCTGTAGGGCAGGGGACTGGGGGCATGGCTGTAACTGCTGGGGAAGAGTGGATAACGCTCTGCTCACACCTCATCCATACGGGCAGGATGCAGCCAGCTCTGCCCCAGCAGCATGAGAGGGGCTGGGACCCCCAGCTCTGGGCTCTGGGGCCATACACCATCCATAGTGTGGATGGTGGGATGCTCCAGGGGCCTCCAGCTGGATGGGATTCCCAGCTACAAACTGTTCCTGCTGCTGTTCACCAAGCACTGGGTGATGTGAGGGTTTATTCAATCAAAACTCTGCTCAGGAGGCCCAGCTGGTCATGGGACTGAGTCCCTTCTGAGCTCGTGTGCCCAGCCCTGTGTGCAGGCCCGTGTGTCTGTGTTGGGGTCCAGGACTCCCCTCCTGGCCCCTGTGTCCGTGCTGGGATCCAGGACTCCCCTCTGGCCCGTGTGTCCATGTTGGGGTCCAGGACTCCCCTCCGTGCCCGTGTGTCCGTGTTGGGGTCCAGGACTCCCCTCCTGGGCCGTGTGTCCGTGTTGGGGTCCCCTCCATGCCCCTGTGTCCGTGCTGGGGTCCCCTCCATGCCCCTGTGTCCATGTTGGGGTCCAGGACTCCCCTCGGAGCCCCTGTGTCCATGTTGGGGTCCAGGACTCCCCTCCGGGCCCGTGTGTCCCTATTGGGGTCCAGGACTCCTCTCCGAGCCTGTGTGTCCATGTTGGGGTCCAGGACTCCCCTCTGAGCCCGGGTTTGGTTTGAGGAGAGGCGCGGGCGGGATTTGGGGAGCCCTGCAGGGACAGGCGGGGACATTTCCAGCGACACCCACCCGGGCCGGGCGGCGGCCGCCAGGTGGCATCAGGAACCCACGGACGTGGGCGCGGAACCGGAGAGGGTGAGGGCACGGAGGGGGTGCACGGGGACGGTGGGTGCACAGGTACCTGGGGATGGTGGGTGCACAGGTACCCGGGGATGGTGGGTGCACAGGTACCTGGGGATGGTGGGTAGGTACCCAGAGAGGTGGGCACACAGGTACCCAGGGACAGTGGGAAGGTATCCAGGGACAGTGGGTGCACAGGTACCTGGGATGGTGGGTGCACAACTACCCAGGGACAGTGGGTAGGTACCCAGGGATGGTGGGTGCACAGGTACCCGGGGACAGTGGGTGCACAGGTACCCAGGGACAGTGGGTACACAAGTACCCAGAAATGGTGAACACACAGGTACCCAAGGACAGTGGGTACACAGGTACCCAAGGACAGTGGGAAGGTATCCAGGGACAGTGGGTGCACAAGTACCTGGGGAAGGTGAGTTCTCAGGTACCTGGGGATGGTGGGTGCACAGGTACCCAGGAATGGTGAGCACACAGGTACCCAGCACCAGTGGCTGCCCAGGTACCCACAGACAATGGGCACACAGGTACCTGGGGATGGTGGCTGCACAGGTACCTGGGGAAAGTGAGTTCACAGGTACCCGGGGATGGTGGCTGCACAGGTACCTGGGGAAGGTGAAGGCACAGATACCCGGCATGGTGAGTGTACAGATACCACAGAAGGTGGGCACGCATGTTCTCGCAGAGGTGGGCACACAGGTACCCAGAAATGGTGAACACACAGTACCCTGGGAAGGTGTGTGCAGGAGTTACCAGGGAAGATGTGTGCACATTTAACTGGGGGGTGGGTGTAGAGGTGCCCATGGAAGGTGAGGGCACAGGTAACTCACACACCTGCAGCCTCCCAGGCATCCCTCACTCACTGCCAGCCCTTGTTGGTGAGGGTCACTCAGCTAACAAGGCTCCCGTAGCTAATGAGGGTCCCTTGGCTCTTGCAGACCAGGGGCCTTGGGGTGCCAGCTCCAGCCCAATGTGCCCCTGGCTCCTGGGGCTCCCCACGCACCCTCTGGTGCTGCTGTCCTGCTCCCCAGGCCCTTCAGCTTTGGGGACCAGGGCACCTACTGGGGAACAAAGTCCCAGCAGCCCCAGCTGGGCAGGTGGAGCACAGGGGCTGCTCTGAGGGCACTTGTGAGGGGTCTGGGAGTTCCCTGACCCTGGGGGCTCTGAGGTCCCACCTGTGGCTGGGGCAGCATGGCAGGAGCTGGGGACAGCGTGCTGGGGAGGCAGGGGCACGCAGATCAGGCTAGGCCAGGCAGTGTGATGTTAATACACGTTTTCCTGTGATGTTCTGCCACAATTTTCAGAGCCAAAAATCCTGGGGGACACAGCCTGGGTTTGTCTCTTTCCCTCTTCGCTCTCCCCTCACCCCCAGATCCACCGGTGCCCCCGCCCCTGTGGCTCCCACAGCACCAGGATGTGCTGCTGGAGCATCGTCCCCATCTGTCCTTGAGCCGTGGGAGAGGAGAGGGGAGCTGCCTCCATCCTGCCGGCATCAGCCTCCCCACAGCATCTTCTCCGCCTGGGTTATCTAATGGTTGTGGCACAGCCTTTAAATGTCACCCACTAAAGAGAGCACGACAGCGTCCGGGAAGGGAGGGGAGGCTGGGTGAGACAGGATGGGAAAAACAGGAGCAAAACAGTATCGATTTCCAGCCAATTATCACTGTTATCAAAGCAGAGCAATTAAAGGATGAGGCCACATCGCCAATACCCGGCTGGCCCTCCGAGGCGAGGCGAGGGCTCAGCAGCTCTGTCAAACACACACAAACACACCAACACATCCAAGCGCCTCGTTCCCTGTGTCCGTGTGTGCTCACACACACACACACACAGAGACACACACACAGAGGGGTCTGCTGAGCTTGTTTTCCCCGTGGAGTTAATCCCAGCCCGCTGCCAGGAGGTGCCTCCATCTGCCTCTGCCTGAGCCCGGGCAGGGTGGAGGCGCTGGGGACAGCTGGCAGAGCACTGCCAGGGCTGGAGCTGTGGGAACCGAGCGAATTTCTCCTCCTCAGGTCGTCTAAAATGTTCTCATCCCTCCTTCTCCCTCCTCCTTCCCGCCTGGCTCCGACCCTGCTGTGCCCCAGGGATATCCCAAGCTGCCAGCTGGGCACTCGCCCTGCGCATGGTTTTGGCTTTTTATGGTCTTGCAGGATGGATGTCAGAGCCACACAGCTCCAAATGACACCGTCCCTGTCACTCGGTTTGTTCAGCTGGAGCACAGGAGATGAGGGGAGGCAGAGGGGCAGGGGCTGAGCTCTGCTCTGGGACAGCTCCTGGAGCCCAGCAAGGGCTGGAGCTGTGCCAGGCCTTGGCATGGAGCTCAGGGAAAGGTTCTTCCCCCCGAGGGTGCTGGCACTGCCCAGGCTCCCCAGGGAATGGTCCCGGCCCCGAGGCTGCCAGAGCTGCAGGAGCGTTTGGACAGCGCTCTCAGGGCCGCTCAGGGTGGGGGTGTTGGGGGGTCTGGGCTGATGATCCCTGAGGGTCCATTTCCACTCAGGATGTTCCAGGATTTTACGATTCCATGATTCCATCAATGGTGGGTGGTGCTTGGGAGCACCAAAGATGCCAGCAGGGACCAGACCTCGGGCTCAAAATGCAGCCCAGAGCAGTAACGGGGGTTAGACGTGGGCGATGCGCTGTGTCACAGCACGGTGACCCAGCGGCACTGGCACAGGGTGCCCAGAGCAGCTGTGGCTGCCCCTGGATTCCCTGGAAGTGTCCAAGGCCAGGCTGGACAGGGATTGGAGGAACCTGGGACAGTGGAAGGCGTCCCTGCCATGGCAGGGGTGGAACAGGATGGGCTTTGGGGTCCCTCCCAACCCAAACCAGTCTGGGGTTATACAAACACCTGCAGTGAATGGCTTGAGAGGTGGCAGTGTGATTCCAGTGTGATTCCAGTACCGGGAGGGTCAACCCTGGGCAGACCCCTCCCAGCCTGGCAGCCTTGTCCCCAAGGGCTGTGCTCTCCACATCCAGAGGCACAGCTTGAGAGCAGCATCTCCAGCAGCCATGCCAGAAGGTGATTCCCAAACATCTGGGGAGGAAGGAAAAACTGGGCTCTGGTTCTGCTGCCGGGGAGGAAGTTTATATGGAAAACCACAGAGGCTGACAATGGCAGGAGCTCTGTGCTCCTGTCTGGCTTTGGCTACACTTCTCTGCCACTCAGGAGCCCTCCCCACTGAGAATTGCTGCTTCCCTGGGGAACGAGCAGGACCTGAGCCCCGACACCCTGCCTGCTCACTGGTCACCCACACTTCCCTGTCCCCTGTCCCCTGGCTGTGCACAGCTAACACATTAACCCAGTGCTGCTCCAGCCCCCGGCCCCGCGCTCCCTGCCTGT